GAGCGGCCACTGAACTCCAGTCTGGGCGACAGAGTGAGACTCCAACTCAAAAAAAAACCAACAAAACCAAAACCAAAGGCGAACAGGGAGAGGAGCTCAGAGACTCCTGTGCCCCGGGTTGTGTTCCCCCTGCCGGGGGCGAGGTTCTACCATCCTGACAAGAGAGTGGGCCACGTCCCATGGGGGCAGACCTGCCACTTACAACAGAGGAGCTGAGGGCAGTGGCATGTGCACCCCGTGGGGAGGGGCCATCCCTGGGCCACACGCGGACTCGGGACAGGCCAGGCTGTGCCTTCAGCTGGGGAGATCTACAAAGACCCGGCTGCCTCCTGGCATGCCCGACTCAACCTCCACAGAGCTGTGACGTGGTGCCGCCCATTGCTGGCGACATTTCCATGGAGAGCAGAGGCAGTGGGCGAAGGCGCTTCCCGGTGGGCACTGGTGGAGGGAGAGGGAGGGGCAGCAGGGCAGAGATGGCGGGGGCGCACAGGCGCGGGCGCGCGCACAGGTGCGTTCTGGGAGAGTGAGAGGCGTGGTCTTGAAAGCGCCAGGGCTCAGACCAGGAGGGAGAACTTTTGCTGGACATGAGCTGGGGACAGACAGGCTGACCTTGAACTCTGAGGTGAGGGCCTCGGGAGCTGAGGGCTGGAGTGAGGAAAGGGCGGGCTCCCCTGGCCAGGGACCAGCCATCTCGTGGACCACTGACACCCACCAGCATCTCTTCTCACACAAGATGCCACACTTGAAGGTGTCCCAGAGCTGGACAGGCCTAGGCGGGCTGGAGCCTCTTGCCAGTGTAATGCACAGGGTTTAATCCACTACAGAACGGCTCCCTTATGGACGTGCTGCTGATGTACTGACCATGTGCGTCCCATAAGAGGTGGACTGTACCCAGAGCACCTCACAGACATCAGCGGCCTGGTGCCGGGTATCTTCCCAAGAGTCCCCAGATTCCGGTGAGGAGCCGACTCCCCACCTTCAGGCCCTGTGGTTTAGGGGTGCGGAGTGCACCCCAGAGCCCAGATAGGCTGTGTGACTCAGATGTGGCCTGGCGGGTGAACCGCCTCTATGGTGACTGCAGGGCGGGCATGGGGCCCACCGGGGCCGCTGTCCTCCTCACCCAGGTGCCAGTCTCCATCTGGGTAGGTGGGAGAGATGCTCCCAGGGCCCAAACCCCTGTGGCCACCAGGAGGGCAGAGTCAGCTCAGCCTGAAGCCACTCAGAGGATGAAAGACACGGAGGAGGAACTGGGTCCTAGTGACCGAATCACCACAGAATCCTGTGGGATCCAGGCACAAGCCCTGGCCTCCACTGCTTCTTGTGTCTCTGAAGCCCCGTGGCTTAAGCCAGTTGGGGTGGGCGTCCTGTCACCTGCCATCGCCAGGGCACTCACAGATGCAGGTCAGGAAACTCCGGGGGGCAGTGAGTCATGTGGGTGGAACCCCTCCTAGAGACCGTGCTGCTCCTCCATGTGGGCCAGCCCAGAGCTCAGCAGGACATGCCTCTCTCTAGAACCTTCCCTCGCACAACAGCCTGAGAGGCACATCTGCTGTCACCCATCCTGCAGTGAGGAAGGCGAGGCACTGAAGAGGCCCCAGCAGGCGGTGTGGACAGGGCAGAACTGGCACGTTCAGTCTGGCCCTAGAATCTTCCCTACCTTCCCCCCTCCCCCACCAGCAGTCTGTCACCTGGGGGAAGCATTGCCCAGGAGAACACAGCAGGTCTGCTCTTTACACTCAGGGCCTGAGGCAGGGTACAGGCAGGACTCTGGCGCTGACTGCGGGCGGCAACTCACTTGAAGGCACTGGGGTCTCCGTGGACCTTGTAGTTGTCAGCGCTGATCTGTGAGATGACCCTGGTCACGGCAACAAGGATGCCCACGTTGACCTGTGGGAGAAGCAAAGGGTATGGCGTGAGGAGGCCGGGCTGTGCCTGCAGGGCCGAGTCCCCGCCCACCGGGTCCTGAGCACACGAGGCCTTGCCGGGACAGATGGCATCCCAGTCCACAGGCCTCTACCCACACGCACCGCACATGGCCTCGCCTCGAGGGTTCGCGTGCCGAGAGGCAGCGAGATGAGGTCTAATCCCAGGAACTCACAGGGCACGTGGGGAGGGCGCAGACCTCAGGTTCGCAGACCTGGGGGCAAACCCCACCTCCGCATCCACTCACTTGGTGTGACCGGGCGACCTGTCTACATCTCCTGACCTCAGTTCCCATTTGATGGGAGAAGAATCATGGCCACTGTCCAAGCCCCCATCCAGAGACAAGAAAGTCCATGGGTCAGGCCCCTGCACAGTGCCTGGTTCTCACTTTCCACCTGCCCTGGGCCATAAGCCCCGGAAGCCACGGCAGAGGGCCGTCTCGCCTTGTGGGGACCTGTGGGAACCTGATGAAAGTCCCAGGGCCTAGGGGGTGGGTAGGGCACTCGGGTGACTGGCAGAAGCCCCAGCACAGCCTGTCCTTCACCCGGCCCCTCTCCGGCATCCTGAGTGGTTGGGGGATACAAGGCAGGGGCGACCAGGAGACGTGAAGCCCCAATTTCCCCCTGCTGCGGGGTTCAGAGGCTGTGCTGCGCCCGAGGCCTCCTCTTCCTCTCCTAAAGATGCTGAACTCATCGGCCGAGTCAGTGAGGAGCTCAGCTCCAGGCTGCCATCCCTGGTACGAACCTTCAGGCCTGGACGCAGGTGGTGGCCAAGCTCTACCTGCAGGCTCTGGAAAGCTGCTGTCCCGTGCCAGCCAGCGTAGCACAGCCTGGCAGGCTCTGAGGGAGCTGCCTCCAAGGCCTCAGCCTGGAGCCCACTTGAGCCAGTCTGCAGCTGGCATGCCCACCTCCCCACCTAGCCCCTTGGAAGCCCAGCAGGCCACTCCACCCGGGCCTGCCAACCCTGTCCTGCTCCGACGTATGCCCAGGGTCCTTCCACTCCCAGCCCTCCCCTCCCTTCCCTCCTCCTATCCCCCCCTCCCTGTGTCCAGAGTCCCTCAGCAGGGGACCCTCCCGCTGTTCCAAGGAGAGGGTGCCCTGGGCGTGAGCCTTCCTTCCACTTTCGCTGACTCCCTGGGGCCCACTGCCCCCGTCAGTTCCTGCCCTAATGCACCAGCTCAGCACTGGGCAGTGCCGCCTCCCCAGTTCGGCCTCACAGCTAGGCCCTCCTCGTGTGCCCTTATTTTCTCATCTGTAAAATGGGGCTAAGGATAGTATCTCCTGAAGCCAGGGAAGTGGGGACAGCTGAGCCCCAGCTGCACAGAGAGAATGTCTTCCAGCCTCCCCCAGCTGATGGTGGCACCGTGGCCAGAAAGCTACACTCAGCCAGCTCAGGAGAGGAGGAGGTAGGGACGGCAGGTGACACTGTCCACTGCAGCTGCGTGCCCTCAGCTGGGACCATGACGGTGCAGGGGAACTAGCATGTGGCGTCTGCGGCAGGGAACGACCCCAGGCTGCTGCTGGTCATGCAGTCTGGGTACAGCCTCTTCTCTGAACCAGGCCAGCCTGCCTGCTGGCCTGGGAGGTGCTTTCTTGCCTCCAGCAGAGGCTGCTGTGTCCCTGAGGAAGGGAGGGAGGAGCTGGAAGCAGCCCGAGTCCAAAGGCGGCAGACCCTGCTCTCTGATTCTGAGGTTTCCTTGAACACAAGCTTTTCAGTTTGTGTGCCATTGGTTTGTTTCTAGAATTCTGAATTTTTTTTTGCAAAACAATTTTTCCAGAACTTTCCTTGTTTTAGGGGGCATTTACCTAAGTCCTCACTGTGCCATTCTGTACTTCATGCCCCTTTCACGTGGGGTTCATGTCCTGGCCCCTCGCACTGGCACATGCTGGGGCCTTGCTCATAATGAGAACGGTCACCATGTAGATGTGCACAGGCAGATGGGAAGGCGGGGCCACGCGCATGTCCACCTGCAGGGCACAGTGGGAGTATCTGTGGTGCCAGGCAGCTCTCCTGTATGGTGAGCTGTGGGCCCAACACACTGAGCCAAGGCACCCTGGGCAGGCATAAGTCCCACTCGTCCACATCTGCATACAGCCCTGGGGGACCAAGGCACATGCTCTGGGGACCCACGTGGAGGAGGGCGGACACCAGGACAGTGAGACACAGACACGGGCAGAAGCTCATCCTTCAGATTCCTTGGCCCCTCCTCCCAGGGCTGTGGCTGCCAATTCAAAGGCCAAACTAATCAGCTCAGTTTTCGTTTTAAACGATTATAAAATGACAGGAAAGCTATGAAACCCAGTCCTGTAGATGTCTTGGCAGTGTTGTGAGAGTCTGGAGGAAAAGAGACTTGGATGCCAGTGTTCCAGTGATTCAGGGGAGATGACGAAAGACCACGAGACCTGGGACCGGCAAAGAGATGTCTTGACGCTGCAGAGGGTGTCCAGGCACTCAGGGGAGCTCAGATGCATCCTCAGGAAGCACCTCACGAGGGGTCTGACATATTGTCACCCAGCACTCTGTAAGAGCACAGGGACTCATCAATACACACCAATATCCCACATGAGCAAGCAAACTCACCAGTACACACCAGCACCCCATATGAGCATGGGGGCTCATCAATAAAAACCAGCACCCCACATGAGTAGGGGACTTCTCAATACACACCAGCACCCCATGTGAGGACGGGGACTCGTCAATACACACCAGAACTGCATGTGAGCGGGGGAACTTGGCAATTCACACCAGCACACCATGTGAACATGGGGACTCACCAATACTCACTAGCACCCCACATGAGCATAAGGCCTGCCAATACACACCAGCACTCCAGGTAAGCACAGGGACTTGTCAATATACACCAGGACTCAGCAAGAGCAGGCGACTTGCCAATACACATCAGCACCCCATGTGAACATGGGGACCTGCCAATACACACCAGCACCCCATGAGAGCAGGGGGACTCATCAATACGCACCAGCATCCCACATGAACACAGGGGGTTGTCAATATACTCCAGCATGCCACACGAGCACAGAGACTCGCCAATATACTCCAGCACCCCACATGAGCACAGGAGCTCACCAAAATAGCAGCACCCCATGTGAGCAGAGGAACTTGTCAATACACACCAGCACCCCACATGAGCACAGGGACTCCTCAACACATACCAACACCCCATGTGAACATGAGGACTCATCAATATATACAAGCACCCCATATGAGTGCGGGGACTTGCCAATACACATCAGCACCCCAGGTGAGCATAGGTACACATCAATACACACCAGCACCCCATGAGAGCAGGGGACTCATCAATACACACCAGCCCCCCCATATGAATCCAGGGACTTGTCAATACACACTAGCACCCTATGCGAGTACATGGACACTTCAATACACACCAGCACTCTATGTGATCATGAGAACTTGTCAATACACATCAGCACCCTACATGAGCATGGGGGTTCGTCAATACACACCAGCACCCCACATGAGCACAGGGACTCACCAATGGGGTCTTGCCAATATACATCGGCACCCCACTTGAGCACGAGGACTTGTCAATACACACCAGCACCCCACATGAGCAGGGGGACTCATCAGTGCATACCAGCACCCGACATGAACATGTGGACTCATCAGTACACACCAGCACGCCCCACGAACACAGGAACTCATCAGTACACACCAGCACCCCATGCAAGCTCAGGGCTTCTTCACAACCAGCACCCCCTAAGCTGTGAGGTCTTTGTGTTCTCCAGCTTTGCTGCTCAAGGCGACATAATGTTGCTCCTCCCGGTCCGCTCTCACTTTTCCACAGAGGCTACTGAAAGGACAGTCAACTCACAGCAAGGTGTTCACAGACATGAAGGCAGGCCAGGTGACTCCTTTGCAATCAAGCCTTTTGCTGCTTCTTGGTCGCGGTGTGTGAGATCCACGCAAAGTGGTTCAGAACAGGCAAGATGCTGGCCCTGTGACCTGTGGCCACTTGCCATCATTCTGCCTGCTCCAGAATGTCCGCTGGGACGCTCTCTGCCTCTCTCTTTTCGCCTGGGTCTGTCTGGCTTACTTGGATGCCCACTTCACCCACCTCCTCAGGACAGTCAGCCTGGCTGTGGCGTCTCGAGAGGAAGGGGCTCCCACGGCCTCTGACCCGCATCAGTGCAGGTACGTGGGAGACAGCAGCTGCCAGGGACACAAACTGGCGTCTCACAAAAACGCAGGACAGAAGCAGGCCCAGCCTGGTCACTCTTCCCCGCTCCCGCCTGGCATGGCTCCACCCCTCGGGAGCGGCCCTGGGTGCGGCATGTGGGATATTGTACAAAGGTCCTCCCTCAGCTAAGCACCTCCCTTTAGAACAGCGACAAGCTACTGACAACCGATGTCAAGAAACAATGCACGTGGCCCCTCAGAAGGAAAGCAGGGCTGCACACAGGGCAATCAGACCAAAGCAGAGCCAAGGCCAGACAGGACGGCG